AAGAAGGTAAAGTTACATAGAATCATTTTTCCTCTAACATGTGGGTACTAACCATTAAGAACTCTTTGGAATTTGTGTTCACAGGTTTTTCAAAGTTACAGGCCCTCAGAGTGCATTGGAGAGGGGGTTAAACGCTCACATTTTGACAGCATTTTTGGTTCCTCATAAATTGATAAGTTATTCACAGAAACATTCACAACAGTAGTCAAAGCTGGCACATTTGTATTTGAGGTTCATTCGTGTGCCTCGTGAAGACTCTGAAACTGTCTGACAGACGTTTGGGGTTTTTTTTTTTTCTTCACTGTGGTGAAGAATCGTTTTCATCACTTTCCTTTCTTCGTGTTCCTCCTTTGTTCTCTGTCTTCGGCTCTTCCACCTTTAGCTCTCCACGGTTCTGCATCAGCATCAAGCACACCCGTGGTTCATCACCCCAACTTTCCTCCTCACGAACACAAAGTGAGACCAGAACTGTTTGTTTATTCTGCATCGATCTACAGCCCGACCGATCCAACAGTGTCTGTGGAAGTTTTTTCCAACTCAAACCTGAGTGTCATTTCTCTTTAGTTCTGATGTCACCGCTGAGCAACACAAACCTTCTGCCGTCACAGTTACTTTCAGCTGCTCACTATTTCACCACAGTGGAAACTTTTTTTAACGTTGGCTGATTTTCATGCTTGATGCTCTTTGTGACACGACGCCCGCAGGATTTCTGTCTCTTGAGTGTTGTGGTTCACATTTGCCTAATAAGTGAAGGCTGTTGAAGTGAACTACAACTTTCTAAGGGCCCAGTTCTTTTTTCATTCTTCACTGTAGTGTGACACAATAATAACAATACAATAATTGATCCATGGAGCCTGCTGAAGGTTTTGCTGAACCTTTTCACCCCTTTACTCTTTTTAAAGCTGCAGTTAAACAAAAGTGTGCCCCAGTTTTGAGGGATGTTCATGTTTGACTCATTTCACCACAATTCTGTGTGGTATTTCTACAGAAATTTATTTTCATGTTTCATCCCTCTAGCTGTTTAATACTCAGACGTATTTGAATTTCTGTTTACCAAAGAAAATAGGCAAATCAGCTGAGTTGGCACAATAGAGGAGGATGTTAGAGACTGAGTGAAGGAGGCAGATGAGCTACTGTGATGACCCCTAATATGAGAGCAGAAGGTTAACCAACTCAAATTCACCTTTATACATCACAGCTTTATTTAACTGTCCACTTTCACAGCCCTGGTTAGCTGGTATCAAGTCAAGTCAAAGAAGTCAAGGAAACCTTAATTTCTCACATGCAAGTTGCCCTACTGTGAAATGGGACCAGTTGTGTATAATATGAGTTCATGTCAATAAACAACTGGGACACTTTCCTGGGACAGACTGGGAAAAGAGACATGTGGAGACAGTTCATTTAGGCGAGGGAGTCGGCTTGTTAAATAACCGAAATCCTGTTCCACTCTTTGTTCACATCAGGAAATGTGGGTTTCATGTCAACGTCAATGCAATGTCAATTGTAACTTTATTGTCCCTAACGGGAAATTGATTTGCAGTATGTCCATACAGAAATATAAAAAACAAACAAACAAACAGGCAAACAAATACATCACATACACACACAAAAATAATATAAGCCTGAGAAAACAACCTAAATTTTATCATCATCAAAAAAAAAAAGTGCAACGTGCAGTGGCAGCAGCACTTATGATTTAGTGTTATTAACCATGATAATAGAAGTAGGTACAAAAGACAATCTATGTCTCTTTATCTTCACTGCAGGCACTTTGTAACGACGACCTGATGGAAGCAGTTGAAAATCATTAGAGAGAGGATGATCTGAACACAACAGGACAGAGGTCACCTCCCTCAGCACCTGCCTGTTATAAAAGTCCACAAGCTGGACCTGAGACCTCCCTGAAATCTGACCAGCCACTTTAACCAGGTTGCTGAGTCTGGTCTTATTATTCAAGGACATATTATCATATCAGGCAATGATACAGAATGTTAAAACAGATTCAATAAAACTTTTATAAAAAAGAGTCATTTCAGATGAAACATTAAAACCTCTCAACCTCCTCAAATAACCTGAGCCTTTTTCACTGTAGCAGCAAGATGTGGCTCAAAGGACAGAGACTTATCAAGAACAACCCCCAAATACTTATAACTGTCCACCAGTTCAATGGCTGCACCATTTACCACAGTTAGAGCAGGATGGGGGGATGTCTTCACATGACGAAACAAACTCATCCACAACAGGCCCATGGGAATCCTCTTCACCGTGAAGGAGGTTTACAATCACTGTGTCATCTGCATATTTAATGAAATGCCTGTTGGCCTGTGTACTGCGACAGTCATTAGTGTACAAAATATACAGAAGAGGAGAGAGACAACAAGTTGTTGAGTTTTCTCTGTTTGGTCATCAGACTGGTGAGGGTGGTTTTTGGTGTTTACACGTGTTATGACACATTCAGAGTTCAGGTCATGCCACGTGGTACTACAATGGCCTGTGGCTTTCATAGGAAAGAGGGAGGTGAAATGACAGTTTCCTTATTATAGACTGGCCTGTTGTTGTTAACTGTTTTTATGACATAAAAGTGGGGTTAAAACTAGAATTTCAAACTCTATACCAATACTCGGAAAAATACTCAATAGATGATTCTTCAAATCCAACAAAGGTGTGTATGTGTGACCTTTTGACCTTTAGAATAGAATTCAACTTTATTGTCATTGCACATGTCACAAATACAAGGCAACTAAATGCAGTTATTACATTTTCAACTTCACCATGAAGGTAAATCACTGACAGAGTAAGAATTTTTCAAGTGGGAACCAACTTGTTCAACTTTATTCCAACTCGATTCAAAATTAGGGCCGATCTTTATCTCTGTCAGATCCACAGTCAAATCCATAGAAACTGAGTTGTTACATTTAAGGTCATGTTCAAATTTGAAGCATTTGGAATAAAAGAAAACTTGATTTACAGACATAACATAAACATTTTTTAATGGCTCAACCAGTGCAGGTCACAGAAAGTCTCTGTCACACTGTGGAAACTCTGTTACTCAGCCTTCATTCAATCACTGCGTCCAGCTGACTGACAAGATTCATATCCTGGGCTGACTCAGAAGCAGAGCTGTTAAACTTGTATGTGTCACATGAGCGTAACTTTAAACAGTATTGTGTCCTCCTGTTCTTTGTTCAGAGTTTAGTTGTTTCTCCTGTGTTTAACATGGCTTTGCCCACTGTAGTGTGTGTTGTGTGATGGAGTACACAGGTTAATTTGAAGGTCAGACTGCAGACCGACATCCTGAACAGCAGTGATCTAATTCGTCGTGTTTGAGCGCCATCTGCTGGTGAGTCTGGTAATTGTAAAAGGATGACGTGACTTCTCATGAGCATTGTAATGTGGCTGATGGATGTTAAGCTGACCTTTTCTCCTCATCTGTCTTTAGACCTCCCAACTAGAGGCGTGGTCCTCTAGTTGGTCGGAGGGTACCTGCACGTGACGATAATCTCTGACCCAGATGGTGTAGACTGGAGGTGAAGGGCATCTTCAAACTGAATGAGGACTTCTGTCAGGCTTGGTTAGTCTGTGGAGCTGCAGAGGCACAGAGAAGTATGGATCTGGCTGAGGCTGAAGGAAAAACTGAGGTTTGGGAGGAGTTTAATAAAGCTGTGGAACAAGATTTTCAGTGTCTGTTGGTTTCTAGATTTTATTTATTCATTTTGCTCATGACCTAATCTAAAAAATATGTTTACTGACATGTTTCAGCCAAAGAAAACCTTTTCTCTTAATGATGAGAGGTGGAAACTACAGAACTACCACCCTGTAAGAGAGGAAGGAGGAGGAGGGTCTTGCTTGATGCTAGTGTGGACCGATCAAAGTTCAGTAGCACCTGCAGATGGAGAAAGCTTCTTCACTTTGGCTGCTCTGTAAGTATGCTGTGATGTGTTTTGGTTTCTGAAAAGGATTAAAAAAGAAAGGACTCTCACTGTGTTGCTTCACAAACATCCAGTTTGTGAAGACAAAAAGAGAAAAAAACCCACTTCCTGTTTTCGGCTTCTTCAGTCTGTAGATCGACCAGACTGATGGCGTTGCTGCTTTTTTCCTGAATGTGAAGCTTTAAACTAACCTGTTATTTCTCTTTAGTTTCAACCTCACTGCTGATCTGCACAACAAACCAAGGTCAGTAACCTTTTCCTGTCACAGTTTAAACCTGATATCAGCTACGCCGTAATAGAAGCTCTGAGCATTTTTTATATTGTGGCATGATATTATAGTTATTGCGCTAAGCTATCCAGGAGCCTGCTGAAAGTTCATCGATGCTACCAAAAGCATAAAGGAAGTATGTTCACCTGAAGAAACTGTTCTAACTTTCTTGGAGGTTCACATTAAAAAAAAACTGATCAGCTTTGACTAAGCTCACAGCTTTGGACCTCAGTGCTGGCTTGTACTTAATATGCATCTCCCTCACAGCTCGTCTGACTGTGAGTCCCAGCAGCTCTCAGGTCTTTAAAGGAGACTTTGTGTCTCTGAGCTGTGAGGAGGACGACAGCTCTGCTGGATGGACTCTGAGGAGAAACACAAGCAGAGACACCGGAGCTGAGTGTGGAGATGAGTGGGGAAGATCAGCTGGTTCTTCCTGTAACATCAGCTACATCGACCCATTGGACAGTGGAGTTTACTGGTGTGAGTCCAGAGAGGGTCCCATCAGTAACATGGTTAACCTGACAGTCACTGGTAAGCTGAGTGTGTGGAGTTAGTGTTGATGAAGCTGTGTGTAAATGGATGAAATGCTGTAGTTTGTCTCTGTGTTGAGGTGGATCAGTGATCCTGCAGAGTCCTGTCCTCCCTGTGATGGAGGGAGATGACGTCACTCTGCTCTGTAAAACAAAGACCACTCCCTCCAACCTCCCAGCTGCTTTCTATAAAGATGGCTCCCTCATCAGGAAGCAGCCTACAGGTCACATGACCATCCAGCATGTTTCCAGGTCTGATGAAGGCCTCTACAAGTGTGACATCAGCGGTCATGGAGAGTCTCCATCCAGCTGGATCACTGTCACAGGTGAGGAGCTTCACTCTAATTTCACCTCTTATTTCATCCACATATTCACTGAACAGGTGGGATTCTCTCTGCAGGCAAACCTACAAACACAACCCTTGCCCATGAACCCTCCTCCCCCCACCTTGTGTCCAGGGTTTCCCTCCACCTGGTGGTGTTCTGTCCATACTTCATCTCCACTCTGCTCATGGTATCTTTATATCGATGGAGAGCCACAGGTAACACTCTTAGTCTCTTCAGTTATTTATCAAGCTCAGTTCTTTTTGACTCTTTATACAAATCTCTGATTACACATGTGACAGGAAGTGACCTTATCCCTGTGGTAACAGCACCACCCACCCAAGCTAGGGAGAGACTGGCTGAAGACTGTGATGACATTGTTGGCGTGATCACTGAGCATCACTTCTGAGTTCCTGTTTAATCTATCAGATTGTGGTCATCACATCTCTGTGATTGAACAACGTGCGACGCCGCAGATTTAAACTGGAATATTATGCTTTGATGAATAAATAAATACATGAAGAACACATGGACCAGTCAAAGACTGAACGGTAGTAATGGAAGTTTAATGGATTTAAAGCACTTACATGAAATCATTCTCCTGTCAAAAGATTCAAACATTGTGTAATAAAACATGTGACGGTGTGAGAAACACCTGCACCTCTGCAATCTGCTCACATGTTCCTGTTAAACAGGAAACTGAACGACTACAGTGCCGTGAACATCTGTTAACCACAGGCTAAAAGACTGGTGGTCCTGCAAGAACACCGCCCACTGCTACCTTTCATCTGCAAACACACACTGACTGCAGGATGGGCATTTAGAAACTCTGGCTCAGTTTATATCAGTGAGACAGGCAGTTAAAACTGAACCTGGTGTTGTGTGCTACGAACTTAAATTAAATTACAATCCACGATTCTGTTCAGACCTTTTCTTAGTTGGTTTCTTTATGATTATAATCTCAGGTTTTTGTTACCTTTTCCAATGAAGTTTCTGTTGGTAGTTTATCTTTAATTCTTTGAGTTCCAGTTTATTCTGTCTCCTCTATATTCTCCTGTATTTTAATGCTGATCTTGCTCTTTTTGTTCCCTTCTTACATTGCTTCCTGTTTTACTTTGATACCCTTTTGTTTCTTGTATTTGATTTCACATCTTTGATTACCCTTATTAGCCTTTGTGTACTTATAGCTTCAGTCTTCCTTTTTCGCTTGTGTCTTACTGTTTCTTCAGTGCCTTTTGGGGTTTGTGTCCTCGACATCAAATTTGTTTACTTACCTTTTAAATGTTCATTCTGATGGTTTTTCACACTGTAGATTGTAGATCTTCAAAATGAAGTGTACTGTTTGAGATTTGATGTTCTGTTTGTAACCCTCACAAGGTTATCCACTGCTGCTCATTACATGTTTTTCATGGATGTGTGGTTAAGTAATGAGTTCCCAAACAATGTGGCAGAGAGGTGGTTTGTGCTTCTACATTAAATCCTGGTGCACATGTCTGACAGTGTACGCACTTACTGCTCTGATGTAGATAGATAATTGTGTTGTTGATTATCCAGTGCAGACCTTCTGTAGTTTATGTAACACCAGATGAAAATGCTGAAACAGCCATGAAAGACTTCACTGACGCCATCAGCAAACTGCAAAGACTCTATCCAGAGGCCTTTGCTCTTGTCGGGTTTTAATTACTGCAGTGTTTGATCTATGCATCTATCAGAATGTTTGTTGTACAAACAGAGGACATAAAATTTTATTCTATCACACTGCACTTGTACTCTGTAGTTTGCACTAAAAACTGACCATCAGGTCGCAGCAAACATTAAAAACACATGTATAGATTTCAGTTTCTAATGATTTATGGTGTAGGCACCTGTCAGTCACAACTACTCATGCTGTCCTCGGTGCACGCCTTCGTTTCTTCCTCTGTGAAATTTTTGGGTGTCATCCTCGACAGTACTCTGTCTTTCAATTCACACATTAATAATGCCACTCGTTCTGCATATTTTCAATTGTGCAACATTAATCAGCTCCGTCCTTTTCTCACTCCACATGCCACTGCCATTCTTGTTCATAGCCTTGTTACTTCCCGGATCGATTACTGTCATTCACTTATTTTTTGGTCTTACTCAAAAATCCATCCACAAGCTCCAAGGCGTCCAGAACTCTGCTGCTCGTATCATCACCAGGACTCCTTCTATCCACCACATCAATACTGTCCTGCAGCAGCTTCATTGGCTCCTGGTCAAATATTGTATCAATCTCAAAATACTCTTGTACACATTTAAGGCTATTCATCATCTCTCTCCTCCATATCTCTCTGATCTGGTTCAGATCACCGCCCCATCTCGGTGTCTTAGATCCTCTTCTTCCCTTTCTCTCTCTGTCCCCTCTACCCGTCTTGCCACCAAGGGGATCATAGCTCAATAGTTGGCAGTTCGTCTTATAATCAGAAGGTTGCCGGTTCGAGCCCCGGCTTGGACAGTCTCGGTCGTTGTGTCCTTGGCCAAGACACTTCACCTGTTGCCTACTGGTGGTGGTCAGAGGGCCCGGTGGCGCCAGTGTCCGACGGAAAAATTAGGAGGACTTGGAGAGTGTTCATCTGTGACAGGAGGCTGTAGACAGTGGAGTGATTATAGGAAGCATTAAGCTTTCACATGAATCAGAGGGGGGGCAGGAAGTAGGTGGTTAAACAGAAAGTAAAACATTAGGCTTGTGACATACAGTTTAGATGATGTCACTTCTCTTGGGGATTTTACAGGAATTCGAGCTGCTTCTGAGAAAAGGTCAGAGCAATGTAACTGCACTGAGTGAAGATCAGGATGGTTGTGTTTGTTATTCATTGTGAAGTTTTCACAGTGAAATGTAATTGTTTCACAAAGCAGTGATTGTGTATTCAGGTTGATTCCACATGTAAGATTCACCAAAGAAGAAAGATTTCACATCATCTAGCCCAGATGGATTTTTGCATTAGGAGTGATCCTTAACTCTCCCAGCCACTTGGTTGTACGCTGTCCTAGCTTGCATCTCATGTGCTGGATAGTCTTGTGACACCTTTACACAGCCTGCAGGGTCTGTTGGCTTCTATAGATCTGGTGCTCAGGCTCGTTTGGACAGGCTTTTTCTTGGACACTAGTAGATTTCTTCATGTTTTGATCCTCTGTCTGTGTGTCGTAGTCTGATTTTGGATCCTCCTTACCTTCTGACACTCTGTCAGCTCATCTTGGAGTACAATCTTCAATGATTATTCATTGACGCTGGGCTGATGGCTCCTTGTCTTATTCCTAGTGTTGGGCTCACTGTATTTACAAAAATAGCAACAACAAAAAAAAGGGGGGGGTGGCGAGTGTTTTAATCATCTGTAGCTTTATCTAAAAATGAGAAGGAATAGTGACAATGCTTTTGTAACTGATGGTGGCTTCTCTCTTTGTCTGTGGCATAACAGAGGGTTGTGTCCCTAACAGGCCTGAGGTGTTCACACAGTTTCACTTGTCTGTTGTTAACGGTTGTGATGAGCTCATGTTGGTAAAATGAGTCATTCCTGTCACACCAAAGACGTGGGTACTAACCATTAAGGACCCTTTGGAATCAGCTGGGTGTCCCATCAGTGTCCAAGCTGGCACATTTATATTTGAGCTTCATTCATTGTTTGTTTGCTGACCTTTCAAAGTGAAAGTGAAACCAAGATATGCCCACTGTGTTTTTCTCCTGTGTGTTTGCTGCTTCAGGGCCGAGTCTACATGTGCCTCCTGAAGACTCTCTGAAACTGTGAGTTGTCTTCACTGTGGTGAAAAATCTTTTTCATCACTTTCCTTTCCTCCTGTTCTTGCTTTCTTCTTTTGGCCCTTTCACCTTTACCCCTCCACGGTTCCGCATCAGCATCAAGCACACCTGTGGTTCATTGCCCCGAAAAGAGTACCCCACTATTTTCCTCCTCACGCACACAAAGTGAAATCAGAACTGTTTGTTTATTCTACATCGATCCAACAGTGTCTATGGAAGTTTTTTTTTTCTCGAATCTTACCGCCGAGAGACACAAACCAAGGCCAGTAACCTTCTCCTGTCACAGTTACTTTCAGCTGCTCCCCTTTTACTTCTGCCCGTTTTTGAGGCTTTGTGATTGTATAGTTCCCAAACCAGCACCTAACTTGGACAACTGGAAGAAAATGATTATCTAATTTACTTCAAACTTTTCACATGTGCACTTGATCATGTGTGAATGTACTTTATTTCAGGATTCATAATTTATATTTAGAATTCTCTGTCTACTGAAATTTATTTTCATTTTTCATCCCACTAGCAGTTTAAGACTCAGATGTATCTGGATTTCTTTTCAGCAACAAAAATAGACAAATCAGCAGAGTTGGCACGGTAGAGGAGGATGCTAGAGACGGGGTGAGATGGAGGCAGATGATCTGCTGTGGCGTACTGTGTTTTCTTTTTCTGTATTTTCATTGTAAAAATAATAATTTTTGTTGCAAAGAAGCAGTAAACATGAGTTCATGTTAATGAACAACTGGGTCACTCTCCAGGGATAGACTGGAAACAGAAACATGTGGACATAGTCCATTTTTAGGAGTCAACTTGTTTCTGCAGCATTCATGAAAGATAACCACAGTCCTGTTCCACTTTTTGTCCGCATCAGGAAATTGTTGTTTTATCTCCAAAGCATTAATACACCGGCAGAAGATCCACTGAAACAAAACCAGGTTTTAATATACAGATGTTTAATTCTCAGTCAGTATTTCTTTAGTTGTGAATTTTATTTGCTGAAATGCATCAATTGCATGTGTCTACCTCAAGTAATACCCTGTCCTGGTTAGGGCTGTGCGATATGATCAAAATCTCATATCCCGATATAAGAATTCTATCGTCCGATAACGATATAAATCACAAAAATGTAACATTTTTGTAAATTCTGTGAATCTCGGGCAGCTCGACTTGCAGGAAGTGTTTCCAGCTGCGCGTCATGTAGCTGGAGTCGAGTGTTTTAACCGATGTATGAAACTATACATTTTATACATAAGTGGTAACGGCCGCCGTTTTCTTTGTATTTATTACACGGCGTGCTGCGGGGAAAAGACTGTTCTAACGTTTGAGTTTAAGGTTTATTTTTTAGCACCTGGCAGCTTTTTTGCTTCTCATCCGTAAATAATCTGCTCTTTCACGTGATTTATTTATTTATTTTGAAAAGTCTCAACAGGATCTTGAGCTTTATTGTGAAAGGTTTATGTGGAACATAAACAAGTGGACACGCGATGGTGTTACCGTCATTGTTGCTAACCACAACGCATAAAAACAGGCGCTTGTCTTTCCGTAGTGTGGTTATATTAAATAAAAGAGAAAGAGAGAACTTTAAGAAATTAATATAGCCACTACAGTGGCCGTCAAAACGATGAAAAAATATTTCCGTAAAGTTTATTTTGCGACACCACGAAACAAATGATAGCGTAAAATGAAAGGATAGATGTTTTTACATCCTCATCCGATATATATTGTTATATCGAACAGCCCTAGTCCTGATGTCCTAGATCCTCCTGTGGGCAGAGGAGGAGACATGCGGCTCTTCTGATTCCTTCTTTTTCAATCCCTCCATTTAAAAGCACAAGTTCACACTGCAGTAGTTGTACACTGTTAAAATCTGGACATCCTCTACTGAGAAAACAACTGTGAGTTACAGGGACAGCTCCATTTAAAGTGTATTTATACAACAGTTTTGTGTGACATATGTTGGGACATTTATATATAAGAGCTAATTTGTGATATTTTGTATTATTGAATATGGCACTTTACCTTGTTTGTTACTGTTCTTATTTATTGGAGGAACTGTCATCGCATACTTTGCTCTGGGATTAATAAACTTTTCTGATTTCTCTAGACTGTTTCTGCGAATCTCATTTATGCTCCAGATCAGTTTGCAGACTGTGAAAAGAAAGTAAGGTGGTTTAAACGGTTACTTAAGTCTTTAAAATGTTCACATTTTACACTCAAGCTCACATAAAATGTGCCAGGCATGAAACACCAGCTTGGCTGCACTTCACTGTCTGGTGCGATCCATGTTCACAACCAGCAGCAAAGAGTGACACTGACTGTTGCGTCCAGCCAGCTAAACCCTGGGTTGGTTCCTTCTTGTCTGCCAACATGGGCCCCAACAGCTCTAAAACAGCCCCTCTTAATGATGCTGTACCATAAAGCTCTATTTTGGGTCTAGTCTTGTTTGCACTGTATATGGTGCCACTAGGAGTAAATGGTACTTTTGTACAGAACTTTTCATTTCACTGTTTTGCAGATGACTTGGATATTTCTTTGTCGTTAAAGAAGCATGAACACTTTTAAAACACATTTTATGGAACAACTTTCAATTTATTTCTAAAGCACCAACATGCTGTGCAAAAAGAAAAGAAAAAAATAAGAGATCAAGAATAAATAAGTATGTACAAAGAGTAAAGGTTTATGACATTTAAAAACAGCAGGAGATGGAGCCTGTCTCCAGCAGCAGCTCATTCCACATTTTAGGAAAAACTTCAAAGGCTCCTCTGGCTTTATAAAATGTCTTTGGGAGAGTCAAAAGCACCTGGTTAGCTGATCTACAAGCACGTGACAGCATGTAAGGGTGAAATATCTCAGAAAAATAAGGCGGGGCAAGACCATTAGGAGACTTGAAAACAAATAAAAGAATTTTAAAATGGATTTAGAAACTGAACATGACACTAAAATCGGGGCTATGTGCTCTGGTTTGCTTGTACCAGTTAAAAATCGTGCAGCAGCGTTTTGTACCAGCTGCTGACGTGAGGGCCCTGCTAATTCCAATCAAAAGAGAATTACAATAAGCCAGACGAGAGGTGATAAATGCATGGATCTGTGTCTCTGGGTGGCCTCTAGACAGGATGGACTTAATTTGTGACAGCTGCCTCAACCGAAAGATGGAGGACTTAACCACAGCTTTGACATGTGAGTCGAGTTTTAGGCTGGGGTCCATTTTCACACCTAAATTAGTGATGCTGGATTTTTCATGGGGGCCAAAGAGAAAAGGTCAAAGGCAGGGATACAGCTGGAGGCACTGGATTTAGCATGACCTCAGTCCATGTTCTCTGTGGCAGAAGATTTAGTGTGAATCCTGAGACTTGTTTTTTTGTCAGAGCCATCAGCTGCAGGGATGAACAACAGTATTATTTTACATGTAAAGTAACACACATCTGCTCTGACTTATTCTCTGTTCTTTGGCAAAGCTGCTTTCTCCCCTCGCTCTAACTCAGAATATGAAAACATACAGCAGGTTCTCAGTGAGCGATGCACCAACCTGATCATATCATGAAAATTAATACATGCTTATGTGTAAGGGACCGTCACACAATTAAATATTTACTTTCTATCTTTAATTTAAATCAATTAAATGTAAGAAGGACTTCCAAAAATAGAAACCTACTGATCTGATCTTTATTAGGAAAATAAGAAATTATTATTAATAAATTATTATTAAATAATAAATTATTTATTAATGCTTTACAGCTAGCAAAGATCGACTTGATGTGGATCCAGCTCTGTGAGACTGCTCTCAGACTGGTGCAGTAGTATCCTACATTATACTTACGGGGCAGAGTAACAGCCACCGGAGAAAGAAGAAAAAAGTATTCAGCTACAACATGAGTTTAAAATGTCTCCGTCACTACCACAGTACAGAATAATGTGACTTATAATTACACATCACGGAGCTCAATGCTACACATTAGCTGAGGAAAACTTACCCGTGCTGCTTCTGAGACTGGTTTCCTCAGCCTCGTCTTCATTACCCTCGTCTTCCTCAACCTTCTCACTGTCAGCCTCAACATTTGTTACAACCACTGCTACACTTCCTGTAAAGACAACATACATTTTGAGCTATATGAAGCAAAACGGCAAACTTTACTACCCTGACATAAAAGAGGCACTGTTACTACATAAACACATACAGAAC